TAACATTAAAATTTTGTGTAATGAAAGTAATAAATTTAAAAGGACTTTTTTGGAAATGGTTTGTATTAGCAAAAGTGATAATAATTTAAACAAAAGATCAGAAATTCAAAATCTAAGCAAAATTTAAAATTATATTATTTCTTTACAGTTTATATATAAAACCAGTAAAATATCACATTTTGATTTAATTTTCCATATATTTGTTACATTTTTTCAGGTATCTCCTTCTTTTTTGTTACTAAAAAAAAAAGAATTTTTAAATAAAATTTTATTTATGGCAATATAATTCTCAAAAATAAAAATTTTAAGTTGGCATTTATGACATTGAGGCTTAATTGTAATTGGTCGCTATTCTAACTTTACAAATTCAATTGTTTTTATGTTAAGAAACTTTTTCAAAATTATTTAAAATTTCAGAGAAAAATTTATTGGATGAGAACATTTTTATATATATTTTTTAATATGTTAGCAGTAATTTTATTAACCAAACTAATTTTATTTGGTGAGTTAACAAAAATTTTTTTCTTTCTAGTTCAAATTTGTAAGATATTTTGTATTTTTTAGCAGCTCTTGATAATATTTGTAAACACAATTGAAAGCTCGAGATAAAAAATAGTTAACCAATAGCCCCTTTTATTGATTCCAACCCATCCAAAACATTTATATATTTTTTTAAAACGAGTCACAAGTACTTCTTTATATATATATATATATATATATATATATATATATATATATATATATATATATTTAGAATAAAACAGAGCGATTCGTCAAGAGTTTTGAAAGACCTGTACAGTAAAAAAATAGAGAAGCGGCTCTTATGTAACTAACAAAAGAGCTTGGATATTTGATATGATAGTTGATAGTGTCTGGGGTCTTTATTACTATCAGCCACATACTATCATAGATTTCCCGATGAAAGTTTTCAAGTTAAAGCTTATTATGAATACTGAGGTAAGACTTCTAAGTCTTTAACGTTGAATTGGTTATTTGAATATGTAAAACTCTTTCATTAAGTTTTGAGTCAGTGTTCACTTGTATATCGTAGAGTAAGGACGAATTCCGCAGAGTGCGATAGCAAAAAGTGACCACCGATAAGAACAATTAAAATCTAATTATTAAAAATTCTAGTTATTAAAATAAACAGTAAAGTGGCAGTGGCGTACCAAATTCTGTTTTCTACAATGAACAATTCACATACACGGAACACAAACAATCAGTGTCTATTGTAGTATCAGCAGAAATTGCAGGTAAGCAGCAGGTCCACTATTAACAAACATTTAAGAACATGTACCCATGTACCCTTAAATCCTTAAGCTTTGTTCTTAAACCACTCACATTTTGAAAATAAACATTTAGTACAGTTCTACCATTATGATCATTAACGCTACTTTTTGATTGCTATCTTTGATAATTTATCTTCTCTTTGTTTTTATTAATTTGTCGGAGATAGCTAGGACAGTTTGTATCAAATACGTGATGACCTGTATCAACACCATCTATTTTCATTACATCCTTCGCATAATTACAATTAGAACAAGAATAATTAGTACTGTTGCATTGATTTTTTTATGCTTACCTGCGCATAAAGGACATGTATCTTGTTTGGCTTGACATTTGTCAATAAAATGTCCGAATTTCCAACAACGAAAACATCGCATTACACTTACAAATTCAAAAAATTTGTAACTGTTCCACCCGATATGAACTCTATCTTTTTTTGAAATTAAATATTGAAATTCTCTAGAGGACAATTCAACAATTACATTCACAGAATCCTTTCTACTTTTTTCGGATTTAAATTTATGTATAATTTTAGCTTCTGAAATTAAATCCTTAGGTAAATTTTGGGATCTAAATTTATTTACAAAATCGTTAGAGTCCACATCGTCTGAGGATACATTAATTATTTTAATTTTGGGATTAACTAATTCTCCAATTTTAATATCATATTCATCACCAAGTTGCTGTTCCACAGTAGTTTTAAGATTTTCCAAGGATTGTTTATCTTGACAGTGAATCATCAGTTTGCCTTGGGTGCCTTGTTTTACTTCAGTTAAAGCGACATTAATATTATTTGGATCCAGTTTTTGCGAAAGAACGCTTTTTGTTACAGAACTATTTTGATTCAAGTTTTTTGGTTTTATTATTAATGGTTCAATTTTATTATTTTTCACTACATCTGACCATGAATTATAATTATGTTTATTGGTAGGAATTGAATTCGATAATTCCAACAAATTAATTAACTTACTAGTTTTTTCCAATAATTCTTCGTGTTTATTATCAGATAAATCATTTCTGCCACTGGTAAAAACTTGAACTCTTGGCAAACAATTGTTACAAAACCACCAAAATTGTTTAGATAATGAAATGAATTTGGTATATTATATTCCGACTGACATAGCAGAACAGTAAAGTATTATACATAAAGATGTTGTTATAAGATATCTTTGCTTAGTTGGTCTACTAGTAACCATATAAGTTATAGCATATTTGATAAAATCACTGTCTACACAACTTGGCAACTCAGCCAATTGATATAATGACAGAAAACTGCAATTTATGTTAGGATTTGAAAATATTACAGAGTCGTCATGTAGAAATCTACAATTAAGTTAAAAAATTTACCACAGTAGCATGCCGCAGTAGAGCCATCTCTAGGATCAGAAACAAATTAATCGAGGGTGAAGATCAACCTTAAATAATGTAACCAACTTTAAATAAAAAGTTACATATTATTTCGTATACTTCTCTATGTAAGGAGAGTGTAACAAGAATGATTAGCAAACATGTGCAGTGTAGCAATAGGGTAAACTCTAAAATGTACCTTGATACACCAACGGACTAATATCTGAAATAACAGAAGATGGAAGGGATTAGATAGAAATAAATTATGTAAAAGAAATTAATAAAGGGTAAATATGAATATTTAAAATATAATAGAATTAATGCTGGCTAGCGACTATGCAGGAGAATGACCACTCAACACTCAAAGAGGGATTCGGCCAATTTGCATGCCCTACAGAGACCGTAAGATATAAGAACTAATGACAAAAAAACCACCAAGAAATAAACAGATGAAAGATAAAGTTGCTCTACTGAATGTTTGGGCGCCAGGAAGTTAAATATTTTCTTCCGAGATATCTTGTATTGCTGAAATATGAAAGATAGGTACTAATTGAAATATTGAATTGTTTTAACCCAACTTTAATAAATACCAATTTTATGTACAGACTATTTTAAACACTTATATATGACCCATCACCTCTTATATACAATGGACAAGTTTCATAATGTTGATAATATGTTTTTCAGTCAAATAGAGTCAAAGTATAGAATAAAACTGGTAAATTAGTAAAAGAAAGAATGAAATCCGTTAATAAATGACGGAGATAATATGGAATATTAAAGTTGAGAATTTCCGCGCGAAATGATTATCGCTTCGACTGTGTTTGTGACGTCACGTCTCCGTATTGGAGCGGCAGAGTGCAGAGTCCCGAACGGTCCATTTATTCTGCATTGAACCAGCAAGTGTTTACGTGTAGTAGCATTCAAATTTTATTGTATCGTAATGGAAGAAGGATTGTAAAAGTGATAATTTGCCAAAAATTGATATTTATACAGTGATGGACTTTTTTTCTTCCAATCCATCTTATATAAGTGCTGAAATAAAAGGAGTAAAACTTTCTAAGTAAGTATCTATTTACTTTCGCTTAATATTATAGTCGTCTACATACTACTTAACTACTAATATAGAAATTATTTGGCTGATAAAGCAAAGATATAATAAGGCAAATAATATTCTTTTACCAATTTGTTTAATGTTTTTACCGACCAATCAATAATTCTTTACTTGCATATTAATTTTATAAGAACACTTACTATTTTTTCATGAAAAGTTTTAATATCAGTTGTTATCAGTAGTGGCTTGTAGTTATTATAATATCATTAATATATCATTATGATGGTCGTCCATACGTAAAGTCACAAACCATACATACTCTCGTAAAGTTGATTAAAACAATATTAATTAAGTAAGTACCTAAGTATTGGTAATTTTTCAGAGCCTGCAGAGAATCCTATCGAGATGAGGCTGTCGGATATGTCCAGGTGAAACGTGAAGGCAATAAATGTACTGTAAAATGCAGAATTTCTCCTGAACACAAAGTAAAAAGTAAACCTTATCACTGTAGATTGGTTTGTGACGAAAGTGAGGAAAAGATTGAAAGTGTTGTTTGTCATGATTGTGCTGCTAATCAAGGTGGATGTAAACATACAGTGGCTTTTTTAATGTGGCTTTTTAAAATTAGTGAGGCACCTGCAACTACTTCTGTAAAGTGCTACTGGATGAAACCAGCGCTTTCTAATATTGGAAGTAACGTTAAATTTATTAAAGCCAAAGATTTTAACTAAGACTGCGCAACAATTTCGGAAATAACAGAAGATAATGAATTTTATAATACTTTTATTAGCGAATGCAAGAAACGAAATGCGAACAACATACAAATAATGACATATTTTAAGGATGTAAACTTGGAGATGAAAGCTTCACTACACTACCTGAGATCTGATTCTAATTCATTTCGACGTCGAAATTTAAAAGCGACTACGCCATGACAGTCGCAATCGCTAGCGATTCTCATTCATTTCGATTTTAGTTAAAAGTGGGGATATTTACTTTATCATATTGACATTGCTGAGAATTTGGGTTGGCACTCTTGTTTATTTGCTGCACGCTGCACAAGCACGTGTACGAGTCTACGACGACGACGCTTTGTTGAATCACGTTGTGTTTATACATATTGTATTTTGTTTATTTGTTGTTGTAATGTTGTAGTGTTGTTAATTTAATAAAAATGGATGGAGAATCTTTCGCTGATGGCACTAAATTGTCGGTGGAGCAAAAGGAAATAATGGTGGTTTTTTTGGAGGACCATCCTGATTTTGCCAAGGGCAAACTCCTTGGCCATGATGGCAAGGAGAAAAAAAAAGGAATGTGGGAAATTTTAAGTACACAATTAAATGGTGTATCTGGGCCCAAAAAAAGTAGCCAAAAATGGCAAAGAGTAAGTACATACTTTGAGTGGAGCATAAATGCTGTAGATACTTTATATCGCGTAGAATTTTTTTTGTTCAAATTTTTGATTTTAAACATCACAAGACAAAATACATATTTCATATATTTATTTTTTGTTAATAGGTATGGATTGACTTGAAAAATAAAGTAAAAAATAAGGCTAGTGTCATAAGAAATAGCAGGACGCAGACAGGAGGAGGTCCTCCTTTAAAAGCAATCTTAACTGACCTAGAGGAAAGGATCATAAGGATAATTGGGGATACTGCCATATACGGATTAAGCAGTTCAAGGGATGATCCTTTGGACAGCGAGGATGTGAATGAACCCTCAGAGGCAGTTGATGTAAATTATGACCAAGAAGCATCAAGCAGCACCATTACTGCTGGTGTATCAGACAGCGAACCAGATGTGTTTGAAGAACATAATTACACTTCAGTAAGTTTTTTTGTAGTATGATATTTAATATTTGACTAAACTAATGTTTGTATTTTGAGAATAATTTCCGAAGTGAAAATTTAAACATACTTTAACCTTTAATTGTGGCTTATTCCCAGTTAAATAGTAATTAATTTAAAATGCCACAAGAAAATAGCTTCAGAACAATGATATATTAATAATTCGTACAAAAATTTTATTACAATAATTAAAACAAAAACTCTTTTCAGACACCAGAAAACCCAAGAAAGCGCAGGCTGTTAAGTGCTAGCAGTTCAAGTAGCTACTATGAGGTTTCCCCTAGAGCTACTAAAAGTAGGAAAGGTATGTACTTTGATTTATAAATAAATAAATAAATAGTTTATTTACTGTTATAACAATTACAATAATTACAATCATTAAATAAATCATATTATATTAACAGTTTTAGAATTCAATAATAATTACATACAATTTACACAAGACAAATAAATAGAATAATATCTAAATGAGGATAGGAGAATATTTATTTATATATATATATATATATATATATATATATATATATATATATATATATATATATATATATATATATATATATATATCGTCCCCTTAATACTACAATTAGGTAACTCAAAATTTGCTATTTTTCAGGAGAGCAGTTTTAAATTTGAAAAGAAACAAACCGTGCTGTATTACAGTAAATGAATTTTTTTCTTACTATTTATAACAAGAAGTTGAAATAAATCTAACTTCTGATTAATTGTAAGCGTTCTAAAGCCTTGTTTTAGTTTTTTTTGTTGTTGAAAATCAAGATATCTAGTTGTAGCAATTAAAATTTTTAAAAAAATTAAATATACCTAGTTGTCGACGTAACAATAAGTACAACTTTTTAATACCAAAAAAGAAATTTATTAACATATTTTGATCAAAATATAACAAAAAAAGTAGAAGAACTTAGCTAATAATTATAGCCAATATTTTTCTTTCACTCGGTCTCACTTATGTCAGATTCACTTGATACTTCTCTTCCTGTTGCTTTAAAAGGCAGGTTTTCAAAATAATCCTTATTTTCCAGAGGAATTGCGGGAGGTTTGGTATTAAACAATGTCAATAGATCCTTGTATTTTTCCAGACTAATAGGGATTCTGTCCTTATACAAAGGATATGGCATTATTGTAGTTATATTTTGAGTCGATTTTGTCCTTCTCTGGCAATTTAAAGTTCTAAATTCTTCGTTAAAGTTTTCTTTAAATTTCATAATGGATGGTTCACATTTAGAAAAGAACATACAACACATTTTCTGCCATGCTACTTGCTGCCCACTTTCGTCCTTACCTCTGAAAATTAAAATTTTATCCGCATGATTTTCCAATCCAATATTTGTTCGTGAGTAATGTTATGAATGATGTACGGTTTATCTCCTTTTCTCCGGGCACATCTAGCAATTGTTTTCCAATCTTGTGGTAAATGTGTTTTGTCTACTCTTTTGAACTCTGTTGAAATGGCTGAGTGCATGGAGTCGCACTCCATTTCACTATGGCCGGAAACTAGAAAGTTTAGTTCAATGCTTTCCAAATGTGGAATATGTTGAACAGCTGTTAAGCACATACTAGCGACGTTTTTATTTAAATTTTGTCCACCGCATCTATCACTAAAACACTGAACCTGAGTTACTTGTTCCGGCAAAGATTCAAAGTATTGGTATAAACAAGTGGCAATCTCACAGCTGCCTCGTTTTCCTTCAACCTCGGTCCACATGAAGCAATCACCCTGTTTAGACACTGTATTATAAATGGTGAAGTTAAATACTTTTAGTCTTTGTTTGTAAAATAAAGCGTTATTTGTTGGGTCATTTGGTACCAAAAGAACTTGTTGAAGATCAAAATTGCAACTTATGAGTGTACCGTTAGAATTTTCTGCTAACTGTCTACTTAATCTCTTTTCATCACGGGCTCTGTTCTTGGCTGCTATGTGAGTGAGATATTCGGTTTCCATAGATGCTTTATCGCTTAAAGGGGAGTTGTAGGCCATACAAACCCGGCACTGGTCTTTACGAGGTCGGTAAAAGCCAAGATTATATTCCTCTGAAAATACCTTTCTATAAATGGCAGAGTTAGCTGGTGTTTGATTGTTTTCACCGCATTCTTTCTTGTATAATGAATACATAATGGTGATGTTAAGGTCTGAGGATAAATATTTCCGTTGTGTTTTTGAACGGCAATAATGTGAACTGACTACAGGGAACTTCTCAATATGGTTTTTTACACTTGCTAGGATAGCAGGTGACGTGATCTTTTTTGTATGTTTTCCCCGATTGTCTACCAAAGTCGTGTTTTCTTCAGTTCTCTTTTTCATAGCTATGTCTACAATTCCTTTTCGAATTCCCAGGGTATTGATAAACATGGTTTTACAAACCTGGATTCTATTCGAATTTTTAGGTAAATAGAATAAAATGGTTTTTTGACGTCTGGACTGTTCTGCAGTATGCCATTTTTTATCTTTCTTTTCTGTATGGCCATTAATAAAGTCTCGTTTTCTTTCATAGGATTCTAACTGGTAATATCTTCGAAAAATCGACAATCTCTCTTCATAGGAAAATTTTTCTGTGCATTTTCGTTTACAGGTAGCTAAACAAGCATCCTTCATGACTACTCCTGGTACGTATTTACCCCTAGAAGATAAGTATGCTTCGCCGCGTTGTTTTCTTGATTTTGCAATATTTCTTTTCCAGTTTTGTTCATTTCTTTTCCTCTTTCTTGACTTATCTGTCGTAACAGGCAACTCTTCATGTCATGCAAGTCGTTGTTAATAGTTTGAAAAGTTCCATTTCCGAGAGCAAGTTCATTGTCAGAAGAATCATCAGAGTCCGGATCATATTCCGAGTGATCAGGAGAATAGGGATCAGAGTCTGTTTCCGAATCGTTATAACATTGTTTAGAAGTGGATGGAAGGACCTCAGTATTCTCATCTGAAAATAAAAAATACTTTAGTACTTTTTAAACTAAGTTTAAAGAAATGTTTATATTTTTAAATTTTGCGAATGAAAGATACCTACCTATACGTTTTACAAAAAACAACTATTTAAAAAACTTTAACGAATCTTAAATAGTCTAATAGTTTTTTAGTCTTAAACCGCTAAAAAATGTAAATAATGATAACCTAAAACTTTTTAAACAACAGCGTTTTACAAATTTATTTTCATAGGTTTTACTAAATAAGTTCTAAAAATAAGTTCACCATAATATGCATACTCGGCATATTATGCTTATCACATAAAAATGGTATCCTACGGTATCAATTTTATATTTATGTTCAAAAACTAATGCATCGACAAATACCTAACCTATAAAAATAAGCTCTCCCACGATTTTAACAAATTTATTTTTCCAAATAGTATTTAAACACTCACCTTTTGTTTCTGTTAACTGGTCACGTACTAATCTTAATATATATTTGGCTCTTGTAGACATTTTTACTTTTGTTTCAAAAAATATTACGAAAAATAAAGCAACAATGTCACTCACAACGTATGCTATGATGAACTGCACAAATAGGTATCTTAAAGAATATCCGGAGGAGGCAACGCATAACACGAGTTACCCGGCGCACAATTAGGTATGTCAAGTTAAACACTTGTTGCAGCAGAAATTTTTGGCGTTGTCAGTTGCACATTTAGATATTTCAATATGACCACTTTTAGCAACAATTTTTTTTTCCAACTTATGACATAGCTATTAGTGTGTAATTGGATTTTCATGTATAGAATGGGCATAGAACTTACCTAGTTGTAGTATTAAAAAGAGCGTCAAAAATTATATTGGTAACGGTAGATAACTCAAAATCGTAAAATTTCGAGTTACCTAGTTGTAGTATTAAGGGGACGATATATATATATATATATATATATATATATATATATATATATATATATATATATATATATATATATATATATATATAATGAAACAGAAGTATTTGCTGACCATGTAAGGAAGTAAACTTTAAATATTGGGTATGCAGCAATAAAAATGAAATGTGTACTCTTTTAAATTTTTAATCCAAGCTTTCGGACATTAGTTATGTCCTTCATCAGGGAGCTACAAATGTGATGAATAATTTTTTTTTTAATATTTTTAAAATTAATTAAAAATTCGCTACTTACAAACTTAATGAGGTTGTATCATAAATGATTTTATAAAATGTTGATAAAATTTATCACAGTCTGTCATATTCTAAAACCTATACCTATATTTAAAATTTTAAAATTTATTATATATATCGTTGATTGGGAAGAATAGTATGATATTTCAAAAACATTAAATTTTCAGAAATGGCGATTAAAGATTGAGATGGGTTTCGAGATCGAATAACTTAAGCAATACATTACTAAATATCCTTTTGATCATAATAATTAAGGCTTACAGTAGTAACTGACAATATAAGTTTTTCATCCGATCCATATACCAGCCCCAACCCATATTTTTCATCCCCATTTTGAGTTATAATAGTTTTCTATATAAATATCTTGTGTTGTTTTACAATTATTAGTTTATTAGGGACAATAAAATGGAACAGTTTAAAAGTTTTATTTGAGTATAAACAACAAACGAATGATAAAATAGCAGCTGTAGTACAATATCAGTATAAAAACATAAAAAGCTTAGCCTTCCATTAAAAAAATTAAAGTTTCTACAAGTTAGCGTAAAAATCCTATAGTATTGTGGCATTACCGCTACATTTTTTTTCTTTGCAAAGAGAGAGAGCAAGCCAGCTTTCTTTTTTTCATTTATTCCTACCTTTTTCCTATAAGCTTGTTTAAGAGTAACATCACGTGGTGATGGAACTCGTCGTTTGCTTTGAAGAACGTTTAAGGAATTAAATTCCTCTTGTTTGTATGACATTTTATACATCAAATGACTAGGATTTTCTTTCGTAACTTTTAATATGCATATTCCTGAGAGAGGGACTGAATCACCTTCTTCCGTTTTAAAAGAATCCTTCATCCCCATATCACTTGAGAGTTGTTTCAGATCAAAAAAATTCTCATAACACATTTCATGTACGGTGAATGGATTTCCATTCTTCTTTGCTTGTCTAACCAATGTTACATATTGATCTGGTACGTAAATTGGAGAAATTTTTTAAATTTAGTAATTGAACGTTCTATAATAGAATGGACATGGTCTCCCTCGTTCTGAGTGTGACCACTAATTAAAAATTTATGGGTGATGGACCTAATATTTTCTAGAACAGAAACAGCATGTATGTATAAAGCAAATACGAAGCGGTTCTTTTTTGACCGAAACAGTTGTCAGTATAAAATACAACATCTACCATTTCAGTATTTTTTGCGTTCACA